AGACATGTTAGGTTTATGGACAGGTGCAGCTATTCTAAGCCACATTCCCTTCCAATCAAAATCCTATAGTAATTCTGTATCTGATGATTTGATTTTTTTTCATTTTTATCCAAGAAATCTTTGTAATGGCAAGTAGGAAGGAGCTTAGTGACAAAGTGTTTTCCTTGGACTGGTTTTCAGGGCTCTTTGTAGAGAATGACATTGAGACAGGTCTATTGAAATTTTTTGGAATTCCCTTGAGATCTAACCAGGAGAAAAGTTACTTGGGGTTCCACATTGTCTAGGATTAGAACTTTGATATTGGTTTTCAAAATGTCACTGAGTCCTGCCCAGCAACAATAGGAGTATCAGCCAGAAATTTGTTAAAAATGCAAATCATTAACACAACCCCCCTCCAATTTGTATTTTGATAAGTGCTTTTGGTGATTCTGATGCAAACATATTGAATTTCCCTACAAGATTTATGGAGGTCCTCACGTTTAGAATTCTCCAATGCAGTCAATGCCTGCATAAACGTGGATATAAGAGGCTTCTTCAATGTGCTTTATTGCCTCATCTTTGGTCTGGTTGTGAGACCAAGACCTTAGGAAAATCCAAAAGACCAAAACCTTGGCAACTAAATGGATAGGAGCTTTTCTAATGGGCAGTGGCTAGTAGTCTAAGAGTGACAGGTTCTCTGAACAAGCAGGAATTAAATCTCAAGGGGAGTTAAAGAGTAGGCTGATTTAGGGACAAATGGAAGGAATGTCAATGGAGATATTCCTCCCAGAAAATACTGGAGATCACTTGGCCATGGTGGGGTTTGAAGAATATCAGAGGGGAATCTAAGCCTGTCCTCTCCCCAGTGAAACTGGAGAGCTGACCAAGCTTTTGGCTTTAGGGACTCACATGGGGACCATTTCCTGAGTATCTACTGCCTGTCAGATATGCAACTGTCCACATAATTGTGGACACTCTGTCATGTACATCGTAACTCAAAAGTAAGCCTTAGGATCTTAGTTTTGTAAAAGAAGAAAACATGGACAAAATATTGAGTAGCATGTGTTATACTTAAGCCGAAAATGGTAGGCCTGTATTTAAATATGCTTTACTGCCCCTCAAACTGTGGCCACCTGCACTGGGATTCAGAATTTTTCCAGATATGACCTCCACTCTCTCTTGCATCAGACATGTTAGTCATCAGCATTCTTAAATTCCTTTCTGGCTTGACTTCACCTTAGATCCCATCTGGTACTAGAATTCATAGCTAGCCCTTGGTGTCTGTCTTTCCTGCCTTGCACTTAAACTCCAGGTACTGGCTCTGGATCCTAGAATTGACTCTTCCATATGGAAGAGACACCTTTGGACCTGTGCCACACTGCTCCACTCATACTCTGCCTGACATTTGCAAACCACTTTGAATGCTTCCCTTTTAAATAAAATCACATTAGACACATAAAATTTACAAAGAATATGATATATTACATATTCTTGAAAAACTTACCTGGTTGAACAGAAGATGGGGTTACATATTTAGAGTCACAAGATACACAATGACTGACATTTCCAGGTCAGTGCCTCTCTAGCAGATTGTACACAGGAAAAAACACTAGCAATATTCAACTCGATTACAATTTCAACTCTATGTGGCATGGAAAAGCTAACATACATCCCTGGTTCTTAGTTTACCCTATTTGTAAATGGAGATATTAATACTTCTACCCTCCCAAGCTTCTACAGCTCTTACAGCAGCTTATCCTATACAGGAATATACATGAGCCAGTCTCACTCATCTAATTAATGCCTATCATGGGACTGAACTATAGAGGATGTGATAAGCAGTATTCCCCAAATGAAGCAATTTTTGGAAGTTTCCTCTGTGGTATCTTAGACTATCATGTCTTGCCTAGTTCAAGTTCCAGAAGGGGGAACAGATATAGCTCATGAAGTACAAAGACTTGTGATACAGAGACCATGAGGCTGGAGGGCTGTCTGGCAGAGGAGGAATTGCTACTATACCCTGCATGCTAGAGGTTAGAAAGACTATTGAAGGGCATGGGGCCTACTGGGAAAGCTCCATTCTGATCTTTCTGCCTCTTTCTCCCATCCTGTCCTTGGACTGGCACCTAAATTCAACACTTTCCATGCTGAGACAGCTATGATCCTGGTAAGTTACTTTACCTTCTCTCTTCCTAGAGGTTGAAGAAGTTGGTAATTTGCTCATTACTGACATGTAAATTGGTTAATTCCTGAGAGGGGACCCTTACAACTTTTATTCCAAATGACATCTCAAAGGTGGATTTTATACAGCTTAAACTAGACAGAAGTCAACCAAGTCTCCAACCACTATCTCAAAGGGAACCTGCTTGAAGGACACCACTGGAGAAGTTCTTAAGACTGTGGGATATTTGTGTCTGGTATATGAATGCTACCTTAGATTTCTCACATCCAATTTTTCCACAATGAGTAGCACCAAGACACTTTAAATATGTAAGATGGACTGCTGGGGCGAGCAAGAAAGAGAAGCTGGGAGGGTCGGATCTCATTTCACTGTGAAACACAGGAGGAGGGGTAGGAAGGCAAGGAGAGAGGCCTGGCTATCTGTACTTTACAAGGAAGGGGCAGGGAAGGAGTCTGAGAATAAGAAGAGATGTCAGATTTCCTGCCACGCACTTTCTAGACAAGAGCATAGGGAAGGAAACCAGAGCCATTCTGTTACAGACCCTCCCCACCAGGTGGCAAGCTCCTTGAAGGCAAAGAAGTTGCATTTACTCCGACATCAGGCTCACATTGATTAACACATTAAAAATAAAAGACAAAATCAGAAAATACCTGCCCTTCTAAACCCTGCCCCTCTACAACAAATGTTAAATGTCAGTTCAATCAATAATGCACCAAGAAAGACTTTTTTTTCACAGGTTTCCCTTCTGTTAGAGAAACTGTCTGGCAAATCAAGAAAAACATACCATTTACCCACTAAACTAAACACAATCCCTTATTATATAATTAACCGAAACACAATTGTATGTAATATAATTACACAAGACTACAATTATACAAAAGTAATGATGCAGTGTAGATGGCAATGACTTTCATGTAATCAAAAATAATGAGAGCTTCCTTGATTAGAAATTAAGGTATCAAAAGCCCCTACTGATAAATGTTCCTATATCGATCCACACCATGCAAAAGGCTGTGGAATTTTCCTCCTCACTGCTATTAAAGGGTGTAGGGATGGCAACCCTTCCCTGTAATAGCTTTTATACTGAGATTTCAAAACTAGCACATTTTCATGAAGCACACATTTTATTACCCACTTTTCCAGCTGGTCAAATAGAAAAAAATGAATCACAAGAGCCAGAAGCATGGGTGGTTTGTTGATGATCCCATGTGTAGTGGAATTAGCAGAAAAACATGTGCATAAAGTTCCACCAAATTATATCAGTCATTCCAAGCATTAGTACAGACTATGTTCTGCACAGCTGATCTCTGTGCTGCTCAGTTGAGGCACTTGAGACTTCATCATTGTTTCTCTGGACTATGCTAGTCATGTCCCTAGCTCTACGCTTACTCTCTTCCAATGTATCTTTGTCGCTTATTCCTGAATATTTCCACCAGGCTAATCTGATCATTTTCCTTCCCTGTTCTCATACAGATCATGAAGACAAATTTCACTAGCACACAAAGTTCTTCAAAATTAGTTCTGGTTCACATCTCTAGTTATGTTCAAGCCTTTGTTGCCTCCACACTGACCTACCATCCTTGCTGAACCATGTTTATTAAATCTAAGGCTCCATGGATTGTAAGACAAACCAGTGATTATATCCTAAAGAGAAAACTCAGTGTTGCTAACAAAACAATTATACACCATCAGTTATAAAATGTACCCCAGTCTTAGAGATTTTAAATGCAAAGACCAAAGCGTTTTGAATTGATGAAATACTTGTAAACCATACTCTCTCTTGTTTCCATGCCTTTTCACAATGCTCTGCCAATCCCCTCCACTCCCTCACCTTGGCCAAGCCTAACTTTGTTTCCTCCTTATGATTCAACTGAGCCGGACCCCCACAAATCTCCTTGACCTCATTCTTAGGGTCATATGAAGTTATTGCTGCCATGTATTACACAAATAAGGGTGCATTTCTTGGTCATTTATCTCACTTTATGGTAGTGGGTAATTATTCCCTGATGAAATATGACCAGAGATCCTGTATCACCAACACTCAGGAATACAGGAAAACATTTAGCAGATATTATTCGGCCATTTGATCAATGATATTTTAACTGGGGTGACCATAATTACAGGAATAAAGGTTGCAGATACTATAGAAGGCACAAGGTAAATTCCTCTCATAATCCAGAATTGATTCTCTTTGTTTTCAACAGTGTGTCTTTAAATCTAGAAATATCTGCTGCCAGATCCTAGGAGAAACTTAGAGAGAAGCTGAGTCTGCTAGATCTTTGGGCTCCAGAGTGAAAGGACTGATCACTTCTGATTCTGGCTAGTCAGGGTGTTGTCTCCTTGGGGACAAAGAAAACATGCATAGGGGAAGTGACAGCAAAGATTGGCCAAACTTTAGCCATCCTGTGCACTGTTCCAAAGCCTTTGCTGTAAGATTCCCAGGGGCCTGATGCCGTGTGCAAGTGTAGAAAGGACACCCACTGCAGCGAAGAATGAAATAGTTTAGGAAAGAAGCGTTTCCTTCCTCCTTTTAGCTTTACTCTTAACTTCAAAGTAATCAGATGTTGTTTTTGCATAAAATTTTAATCCTTTCACAAATTTGTATTTTGATTTAATTTGCATATCCCATTTACTGCAAGTCAATATGAAGAGAGACTCAACTAATTTAAACCATTTTTCTCTGGGCCTAAAATCCTCTCAGAAATATTTTCCATTAGGCAACTCAATTATGTCTAATGTGGCTAATGTTGGTGGATTAGAATTTTGCTCAAAGAACTCATATTTAGAACAGTGAGAATGGAAAGGGGTGGGAGAACAGAAGAGAAGAGACAATAATTACCTGTCTTTGATGCTACACAGATCAATGTGTAAATCACTAAAATTCCCCAGGGAACCTTGCTGAACTGAAATGAGGTCCTTGGGCTGGTTATCAATAAAGATGAGCCTCATGCAGCCTTGGAAAGCCTTAATGGGATTTAAACATTGGGAATCGGTGAGATTGTCTGGGCACCCTGTGGGACAGAGAAAAAAGATGAAGAAGAATACTGAAATGATTATTCATTGCTTTGGCGACCTATTGATGCAAGACCTTGAGGTCTAATTATTTTGGTGCTTTTTCATTCACAGCAGTACACGTGCTTTTGTTGTAAATCCTAGCATTCTCAGGGAGGGGACAGAAGTGGCACAAAATGGGGACACTCAATCCCTATGTAGAGAAAAAAATGTATGTTAAAGGGAATACCAATGCTATAACATTTATCTTATTCTTATGTTTTTTTTTTTTTTCTTCTACTGGTAAGCTATTTGTTATTCTTTTTCAGGGCATTCTTCACTCATTTTAAAGAAGCAACCTTTTTTAAGTACTAGGGAGTCTTAGTTCTGTCTTGACACATGTGTCTAAATACACAATTCAATTCTAAATTACATTTTCAAAGGAAATTATGCTTTGGGTAAGGATGGCAGTAGAATAATTATCTGGTTAATTAACATCTTAGTTCCTGAAAAAGGTACACATGGGAACATAACAGGAATAACAGGAATTTTGACGCGCTTTGCAAAGCAAATCCAGACACTAAGGGAACTAAGGATTTAAATGCACATAGTTATAGGGCTGTAATAGCATACATGAGAGGTTAACACCACATCTTTTTAAAGAGTGTTCTTTTGGAAAAAATGCATTATAGTGATTTAGCCTAGCTTTGCAACCAGACCATATCTACTTCTCATTAAGACAGGTGTAGAGCAAGGCAGGTATATGAGTGTTTTTTCTCTTTACAAACTCCATCTCCAAGGTTTTAATAGGTTTGGAGCATATGGGAATGCAAGCTTGAAGACGTGGCAATAATCCATAAATAATTGGGAATTATTTCAGCCATCTCTAATAGACAGTCATTGCTAGGCTGAAGCCTGGCAGCTGGTTAACAGCTCACAGGCATACTATAAAAGGAAGAGAGATGCTACAACCTCTGATTGAAGTTGTAGAGAGAATTTATGTAAGTTGACTATTATTATTGAAACTCATTTTCACCTTTCTGAAGTTTACAGTCTATATGTAGGTTGTTTATTTAAACACCGTTCAAATCATAGATAAATCTTCACTTCCTAAGCCCAGCACCCCGAACACCCACCTCTAATGTAGCACTTCTTCAACTGGAGGCGGGGCATCATTTTGCCTCTATGGCATGTGACATGCAGATTGTTCCATAATTATTCAAAACCATTTTGCCCAAAATTGAACTGTAGATTGCCTTCTTTTGTCTGTTGTTGAAATATTACATGTAATGCAGAATTAATCTGTAATACCTTTGGGGATTTGAGACCCTTCTTCTGCATTTCTTCTCATTTCACTAGAGGGCCATGGTGAACACAGAACTGGATTTGCATCCACTCTACAGCTTGCAAGCTCTGTGGCCTTGCAGATTGTTTCAGCTCAGCAGACCTCAGTCTTATTATCTGTTAAATAGGGCTATTATTATCCAACTCACAGAGTTGCTACATGACTCCACTGAAGTAAGACACATAAAACACTTACAGAGAATGGAGTGCATTCTCTTCCTGAGGGAAGGTGTTATCCCTGCACACATGTTAGAGATGCCAGGGGGAGACAGTCCCTTTTTTGCCATAAAGCCAATTATTTTTGGTTTTGGCAGTACTGGGGCTTGAATTTAGGGTCTACACCTTGAGCCACTCTATCAGCTCTTTTTTATGATGGATTTTTTTAAAGATAGGGTCTCTTGAACTATTTGCCTAGGCTGGCTTTGAGCCATGATCCTCCTGCTCTTTGCCTCCTGAGTAGTTAGGATTATAGGCGTGAGCCACCGGAGCCTGGTAAAAATAACTCTTAAAGATATTGCTTCCCTCCCAGGGAGGAAGGGAAAGAGTGTCTCTCTCTCTCTTACTTTTTCTCTGTGTCTCCTTGTACCGGGGCTGAAACCCAGGCCATCATAGATGCTCTATAAGAGCATGCTATATCACTGTTATCAATCCCAGGCCTGGCAGCCTGGTAGCTCCATACTTCAGATATACAAATCATTTCTCTCTTACAAAGGTGGTGGAAGCTTTGAAACGCAGAAGAACTTTTGCACAGGCTATATATATACATATATATACATGTAGAAAGAGAGAGAGAGGAGAAAGATACATATATTTATAAAATACTTCTCTTTAATTTTTTAAAAGTAGAATTGGTGACTGCAATGTGAACCACAGTCCATGACAATATCTACAAGACTGGAAGCAGTTGTTGATCGTTGCCGTGTGGCAGGTATCATTCTGTACACTTTACGTGTGTATGTGTGGGTGTGTGTGCTGGTGTAGTGCTGAGGATAGAGCCTACAGGCCTGCGCATGGGGAGCAAGTGGTCTTCCACTCAGTTCTAGCTCAGTGTCCATTTGTACATTTAAACCTTGCCCTTATGTAAGTCTCCAACCAATTCTGAAAATAAGCTGCTTCTTTTCTATTCCAAGCAAGGTATGTCAGGGACCATGAGTCTTGTTCAAGGTCAGATGGCTACTGAGGTTAAATTCCATTCAGAAATGGTTTCTCTAATACAAACAACTGACTGAGAAGGTGTCTGTTAACTTTTTAAATAAAACCAATACCTTTTAATGGGTAAATAAAGCATATATGCATTTATAAAAATGCTGTAGATGTCTAGCCACATGTCTTTCATCCTCATTAGTTTGGGTGTTGCACTCACTGAAAACATTTCTAGGAGTCTCAAAACACTGGAGAGGTCAGAATCTGAACTAGATTCTCCATGTGGAGCCTCCTTGTTCCTTCCCATTTCTAGCTGCCCCACACCCGGGGCATGCATGGATTCCAGGGAGGTGGGAATGGGAAGCAGGGCTAGGAAAGCAGAGTGGCCTCAATGGCTGAGCATGCTGATGGTGCCTTCCACCTGAATTTTCCATCTTGCAGGTATTGCTGACTCTTGGTTCACTTTCTCCAAGTTTTCAGCTGAGTTTCTGCTTTCCAATACGTTCAGAGAGCTTTGGTATGGCTACAAAAAAATCTCCTTTGGATGTGTTATGTAACATCGGCTCTTGTAGCTCAAGTTCTTTACTCCCTCAGTACTGTCCTAGATAATTTATATTTGCACAGCTGTGAGGGACTTTGCTTCTCACTATTTTGGGCTTCAGTGTGTGTGTGTGTGTGTGTGTGTGTGTGTGTGTGTGTATGTTTATGTGCATTTGTGTCTAGAGAATTGTCTAATTGACAAAGCAAGAATTATGATGGTGAGATGACTGCCCACTGAATTCTGCCTCCACATGCCTCCCTTTATTTGCAGTCTCAAAGGCTAGAGAATTTACCTCCAAAATAGTAGCTGTTTCCAGAATAAATCTGTACATGAGTGGTGTCCTGGACTGGGGATGCTGCATCGTTATCCAGTGTGAGAGTGATGCGGTTTCTTCTGGCATTGATGCTAACCGAATGCCACAAGCCATCATTCAAGTTGCTGCCTGCAAAAGAAACAGGAAGGGCAAGCATAGGGATGATTGATTTGGAGAGGTTCGGAGAGAGTGGGGTTTATTTCCCTGCTTTCTGTGGTCTCCGTGTATTTTCAGAGCAGACCTCCAGCTACTTCAGGAGGGTCATCTTTCTCCTCTGTTTTACCATTTTAGAATATTCTCCTTTGCTTCCTTTCTTCTTTTAAGTGACTAAATAGTTTCTAATATATTTGATTTAAAAACAAAAGGGAAAAGCCTAAACATATATATAGTGTTTATATTTACATCAACCAAAGGCATGTAATATATTAATTAATCTGTTGGTATGTAATTGCAGAGGAAAAATCTGAAAAAAGCCTCAAAATGATAGCAGCAATCCTGTTTGTGCATTGACAACTTATGAGCAATTTTACTTTTGTTCACACTTTTTTACAAACAGCATGCATCCTGTTTTTAATATGAGGTTTTTGTATTTTTATTTGTTTTCTGGTACTGGGATTAAAGCCAGGGGTAGGCCAGTACTCTCTCAGTGAGCCACACTGAAGCCTGGTAAACAGCTTTGAAAGTGCATGAAGAAAGCTGTATTCCAATGCTGGGGACAGCAGAGGTAGGCTCCTCTTGTGGGGAGGGTACAGATCAGTTCAATTCCAACTTTTCTCCATAACTAATAGCATGGCACTGCATATGTTACCTGCCATCATTAATCTCTGATTTATCATCTAAATATTATCGCTCCTATTCTGTATCATCGCTAAAGGGGTCAAGTGAAAACAGAAGTAACATTCCCAGAGCATTTTTAAGGCACAAAAGATGCCTTTTAAAAGTTAATTTTTTATCCAGTTCTTTTGTCCCAGATGTCTTTGTCACATGCTGCCTTGCTGACCTGACTTACTGAGGAAACTGTATCAGGAGCTATTCAGAAGGGTTTCAATTATTTCCTCTAAAAATTCTGTCATCTATGAAGACTGTCCTGCTAGTGCCAAGTGCCTGCTGATGGAAATAGAGTCTTATTAACCAATGTGGTCACAAAGGCCAGAGTAAAGGCATATGACCATACATTTTGTCATTTGATAGACACTTACTGTGCCCATATGTTGAGCCCCCTTCCTTTTCATTACCTCAGTTTCCTCACCTGCAAAAGGGGAACAGTGAGTATACCTAAAGACTGCTGTAAAAATTGCACCTGTTTCTCTAGTAGTGTATGCAGCATGGCTCATGTCAGTCACAGTAAGTAGTCATGTGAACTAATGGGCAAAACTGTAAGTACAAAATAACACAACATGAGAGAGCATGGATATTAACATTGCAAGGTATATATCCCCGGATGGTTGGTCCATAGTTAAGTGGAAGAGGCACATGCAGAAAGGATTAAAATATCATCCTTTGTGTTTAAGCTAGTGAGATAGAGAAGCAAACAACCAACAACAACAGTTACAATTCTGGTGGGACAGTAATACATGGGCATAGGATAAAGAGGCCTAACTAAGTCCATGTGAGGAGCCCAGGAATGTTTCACAGAGGAGATGGGTGAGAATGAAAGGAAGTTTTGGAAAATGAGCCAGATTTTGCAACTCATAGAGCAAGAGTTCCAGGAGACAGAGACAGAGCTCTGTGCAAATGAAGAGAGGCCAGGAATGAGAATCAGGGGAGGATAAAAATCAAGCCAGCTGGGATGAAGATCTGTCACCTAGGGGCCTTACATGCCAGGCTACGGAGTTTTAGCAGCATCCTTTGACAAATGATTGTGGCCAGCACTTTACCCAATCAATTCTATCAGGACCTCCTGGGGAGAGGCCCTGGGCAGCTGCATTGAAATAAAAACAGAAAGGAAAAAAAGAAAAAAACATCTTCCTCAGATGACTCTAATGTGCAGCCAGACATATAAAGAACTGTTTTATAGAAGACTACCAATGAGTGGGTTTTAGCATAGGAATAGCTAGGCTGGAGGTACAGATTTAGAGAGTTGTCAGGCAAAAGAGCAGGTGATAAGAGCTCGGAGGAGTTAAGTCTGCAGGCAGAACTCATGGGGTCTATTGCTTGCAGAGGTCCTAGGAGACAGAATGACAGGGTATTAACCAAGGTGCCAGCAGTGAAAAGGGAGAGCAAGGGCAACTAAAACAGTTTGTGGAGGTATAATACACCAGTTTTGATAAAATCTATGGAAGCCATCCTGAGAAGCCAGCTGGGAGAAGGCAGAGGTCTGCTGTGATCTCACAGTGACAAGTGTAGAGTTTGTGCCCCTGAGCTCCTAGACAGTTGGAGAAGCTGCCCAGGGAGATGCTCATAGCACAAGGTCTGAGGCCCAGCTGTGCTTGCACCTGGGCAGCAATGCTCATCTGCTCAGAGCAGCCCAGATGTAAGGGATCCACTGTATTATCAGCCAGCTCCCTCACAGTCATTCTGTTGCAGCCCTGGCATCTGTTTGGGGCACCGGAAAGAAACCAGAGGCTTCTCAGCCCCATAGACCTACTTTCTCCCACAAGCAGCTGTCCTCAGACAAGGCCAAGTTTGGATCCTGGCCACAGGGTCTCGCTAATGACGTAGAGCTTCTGTCAGGTGTTCCCTACTGATGAACATTTGATTTCTTTCAGGAGCATTTGGAGGACACAGGCAATTTTAGGACTTTTCTTGTTATTTTCATTTGCATACTCATTTGCATATATCTATATAATACATGAAATTGCATCTGAAGGTAAGCTATAGACTTGGCTAGAAGGGAGTGAGTCATTAGTTCATTATACAGAGTCCAAGTAGTGCCCAGAGGCTAAGCATCCTGATAGGCATCAGGCATAGTAGGGAAGAAAGTCCATACAGATGCCACAGGAAGTTTCATGGGTTACTAGAAATCTAGCATATAGTCATTTTACAGATCTGACTGGCCTTGACAGAAGACGTCTGCTCAGTGAAACATACAGAGCTAGAGCATCAGTTTGTGAGTTGATTCTGGACGCTGGTCATTCCCACATCACTCTCTCGTCTGTCTGTCTGTCTTTAAAGTTGTTATTTATTATGGGTATGCTTGGTGGATTGTTTTCTTTCATTTTTTTCCTTATTTTTGGGTCTGCTCTTCTTTTTGAGTTGACCTTTTCCTACAAAGTTCCTAAGCCCTGCAGGGGAGCCAGTGTGAAAACCTCAGTTCTTTAGCAGGGAATTATTAGAACAATAGTTCCTGATGCAAGAATCTCTAGGGGAGCTTTTGAAAGTACAAATCTCTTGGCCTCATACTAGGTTAATTAAGTCAGATTTCTGAGGTGACTACAAACTCTGGAAAGTTCAAAGATCTCCAGGGACTGAGTTGTGTAGCCAGGTTGAGATTTTCTCCGTTAGGGATTTCAGATTCAGAAAGGAAGCAACTAGGAAAAAAACCCAACTAGTAGGGAACCTGGAATGGATTCCAAAGGAAGTCAATGGGCCTCTTCCTGTTCACAAATCTCCCCTCTATCTTGGCATTCTTTCCTACTTTATTCTACGAATGGACCCAAAGTAATACTCCTGGGGAATCTTGATTATTAAGAAGACTCTGTATAAAGTGCAGTTTGAAGTGCTATTTATTATTCACAAATTAATGAGAGTCAATTCTATCAGGTTGCTTTCCTCCCAAACCACTTTGTTACAAATAACTTTGAGAAACACAAGTTTTCGAAAAGAAGAGGAAATAGTCCTGTTGAGGTTAGGAGTACCCAGATGGGAAAATGCCTCTGCAGTTAGGAAATCAGGGGATTTAGGGCTACTTTGGCGCACTAAGCACCACAGGATCTAGGAAATGAGGCTTAAAAGATGGGATTTGGGTTTTAGAAAGAGAGTTGAATGACCACAAACATAAAATTTCCAAACTGTAAAGGAATGCTGGGTATGATTTGCTGACAAAGATTTGCAAAGAATAAAAATTAATTGTATGTGTCAGGGGCCTTAACACTCTATCCCAAAGTATGGTGCCTTACTGTGCTGAATACTTTGAGTCAAAGAACACTGCATATTTTCAGAAGCAAGCTTTTCCTGACCTTTTCCTGCTCTCCTGCCTCTTCCTTTGTGAAATGTGTCATGGAAATGAGAATTCCTCTCCTTAAGAAGTGTCATAGGAACTTGAACCTCTCTCCCCACAGCAAGCCATAAAATCTAGAAAGGTCACTCTTTCCTTTCTCCCTTGAAAACCCACATTCCTGATGGGTCCTTCCCTAAACCTGGGAGGAAGGGATGCTGAACAGAGAATCCAAGAAGAATCTGGACAGGACTTTCTGGGTTCCCTCTCTCTGCCTATTATGCTAAATCACACGGTTAGTCCCACATTTCTCTATGGGTATCCATCCTTCATTAAACCTAAGCATAAAGGTAGTTTTCCCTGATACCCATGTCACATAAATCTTTGATCAATACCTTTGATATACTTTTTTCCTCTTTATTGTTTTCTGTTAGAGGAGTGTTGTCATGACTTTTATGACAGGTAGGGGAAGAGATCACACCTTTCTGCTTCTACTTATTCAATTTACTAGATTTATAGGGAAATAGGCAAGTTCATTGTTGCTTGTTAAAGCATACATTTTTGCATTCTTTTTGGAAGCCAATATCCCAGCAAGCATCAAAAATCTTATGAATGTCAGACCCCATTTCCATGAATTTTGTTATAAGGAATTAATCTCAAAATAAAAAAGACCTGAAGCCAAGATTTATGGTGTAGATTCTTCACAACACCATCATTTATAATAGCAAAAATGTGAAACTATCATTATTTCCAATAGAAGCACATTAGCTGAATCAACTACAATGTGTTCATGATATGGTCTGGAATAAACTTCTTAAAACACTTAACATCCAAGAATGCTGCTAAAATCCTGGTAAATGAAAAATTCTGTCTAAACCGTGTATGATGTAGGTTTCCCAAAAAGAAAACATGGAATTGATATAGATTACTTATGCTTTTTCTTCTATTGAATACTGGAATTTTCAAAGTTTTCACAACTAAAATGCAGATTTTTTTTTATTATCATATACGAAAGGAACTGTTTAAGTTGAAA